AAAAAAAAAAAAAAAAAAAAAGAAAATGAAAGAGACCAATCTGAGAAATCAGAGAAAATATTCCTCCATAAATCAATGTACTCCAATAAACAAGGGAATAAACTCGAAACAGGATATTAGAAATCTCTCACACGTGTTTGTAACACAGAATCTATGAAACAATAAGAAGCATTTGTAAGATTTCATGATCTGATATCAGGAAAATTTACCTATGGATAAAACACATTGGACTCTAAAAAGCAGCAACAATCAGGAGATTGAATCCTGAAAAAAACCCAAAGAGATCATGAGAAAACAGGATTAAATTCTCCAGAATTAACTGAGGACAAAACTGGAAATTATGCACACATACATACACACACTCACATACACATCTACATATGAGAAAAATAAAACAAAGCAGAAAGAGGTGAAGCATTAATTGGCACATAATGGAACATACATCAGAAAGAAAAAGACTAGATTGTTTGGATCTTAAAGGCTTACAAAACAAATGCAAGATTAATGAAAAGGGGCCCTGGTGCTACATGGAGGAAATTTATGAAATTCAGATATTAAAATAAATACTACAACTATCCAGAGATAAAACAAAGAGAAGAAATTCATATTGGCATCAAATATCTCTTCCAAACAATAAATAGCAGAAATTAGTGTTTTGAGAGAAAATATTGTGCCATAAAATTTCTGTACTCAGCCAAACTATCATTTATCTGCAAGGTACATGAGCAAGAACTCAAAATATATACCAATTAGATATACTTCCTGAAAAAAGAATCATTCCCACAAACCCATGAGTAAAATTTTTAGAGAAATCAAAGAAATTGTAATGAGGTGTAAATCTAGTTAAACAGAGTCAGAAAAAATGCTGTTTTTAATATGGATGTGAGACTAAATATAATGGCAGGACTAATTGTTGAAAGAGACCTCTTGGAATATGAAAAGAACAACAATAAAAGATATAAAATAATAGATTTTTTCACTACAACCAGGAAGTTGAGGATGAAATAAAGAAAAAAACTAAGCTTAACTTGTAATACATAGGCAATAAGTAGATAATACATACTCTTCACAAAATAAGGAGAAAATAAAATTCTGTACTAGTTTAAAATCAAAATATATAACTTTAAAATCAGAAGGACAATCAAAAGAGCAAAACCACTTGGGCCCAATAACAAACAGGGTGAGAGACAGAAGAGCAAGGGAGCTTTCCATCTCTCTTGCTGGAAACAGCATCAGCAGAGCAAGAATGGAGTCGGTCTTGTACAGTGCTGAGTTCCAGCCCTTGGAATTGTTAAATAAATAAACAGGAAAACATTATCAGCAAGATTAAATTCATCAGTTATGACAGTACATGTGAATGGCTTAAATTTTCTTTTGAAGGAGACTGCTTTTTAAATATAGTCAATAAAAACTCCTAACTACAAGATATTTCTAAATATTTTTAAAAATAAAATGATACAGAAAAATTTATAATAGCATCAAAAAGAATAAAATACTTAAGTGTAAATTTAGCCAAGGGGGTACAAGATGTATATACTGAAAACTATGAAACATTGTTAAAAAAAAATTAAAGAAGCTCTAAATAAATAGAAAGACATCCATATTCGTGGATTGGAAGACAATATTTTTGACATGAAAATACTGCAGAACAGGGAGTGACAGCCAACAGGTACTTTGGGGTTTCTTTTTTGAAGTAAAGAAAATATTTGGGAATTAGTGGTGATGGTTTCACAACCTTGTAAATAGACTGACGGTCACTGAATTATACTCAAAATGGTGAATATTATGGTGTCTGAATTATGCCATCATCATCATCATAACAATAATAATAAAGCAATTTGTTTTGCACATTTCCATGTGCTGTATTTTCATTACACAATGTGTCTCAAATTAATAGCAGTGGCCAGAATAGGATGCTGTTAGCCTGTTGTGAAGAAATATATCAGATAAAAATATTAACTTTGGGAAGTTTTTGGTAGAAATGAGGTATAGGCAGGAAGCACCTACTTGGAAAGACCTGACACAGAGTGAATTGCAAAATGTGGGAGGGGGCTTTGGGGTGGAGGGGACTCTACCTGACACCCGGCTCCAGCGGTTACAGCAAGGGGACCTGGGGCCAGTTACAGACCCTGTCTGTGCCTCGGTTTCTTCATCTGCAAACCAGGGAAAGGTAATGCTTTCCTCATAAGTCTATCATGATGATTAGAAGTAATAATATATATGAAATAATCATCCCCCAAACTGTGAGGAAGGTTGATCATTTATGTGGGTCCACAACTAACTTCACATTTGAGTAACTTGAACAAATAGATTCCAGGCCCCACCTAAGCCCACTGAATCAGAATCGCTACAAATGAGGACTATGAACTTGTATTTGTATTGAACATGTATTAACTCTCCCAGGTGATTTTTATAATGATCATCTTGGGGGTAGGAAACACTGAGCTGTATAACTTTTACCCAAAACACAAAAATAGGACAGAGCAGAGCAACAAGGATGTTTTCAATCCAGTCTCTAGGCAGAGGAGAAACTGTTGGAAGACTCTAAGATTGAAGGGGACCTGGCCCATCTGACCCCATTTTAACCTCATCCAGTTTACAGCAGAGACACAAGCCCTTGGGGACATGGGCCTGAGGCACCCGGCAGCCCACCTTGAAAACAGAGAGAGTCCTAATTTCAAATTCAAGCTTGCTGTGAATGGAAGTTAAATTTACCCTTTTTTGTTCATAGATTGGACCAGTCTTCTCCAAGCCTCTTACCTTAAAAAATAAATCATATTACTATTAATTCAAACTTCAGCAGAGATGTTCAAGTAAGAAAATCTTATAAATATTCTAGCCACTTAACAGGAAACCAGAAAGTCAGCAAGTCCATTCAAGTTGAGGAGAGTTCAGCCCAGTAGATCACAGTCACTGAGACATAAGACTCCCGAGTTAAAGGGACATTATCCCTTCCTGTCATTTGCCATCACGCCAACTTCAATGAGGTGGGAAAGCAGCTACCCATCCTAAGACGTGGGTCACTCTTGACTCCAGACTGTAACGGACATCCTGACACCCATCACCACTTCTGGGGAGCCTCTGGAAGAGCCCAGCCACCACTTCTGCTATTGGACGTACCTAGAGATGGATTAGCAGAACAAAGGAGGGCTCTAGAAGAAAAGCCAGGTCACAGAGAGAGAAAAGGAGCAGCACTAAATGCTCCCAAGTCTCAGGCTCACAAGACCCAGGTGGGAATGGATGCCAAGAACGTGAGAGGGGGTGAAGCCATCACTTTCCCCTCCTTTCCTGACCCTCTCTTCTCAACCTCAGCTTCTATGTCACTGAACCCCACTGCACACATACACTGTGGATCATCCACCATCCCTGACCCGTGAGCTTGAAGGTACCATGTTCCATTAGAGGAATACAACCGCAGATCAATGGCCTGAGGACAACTCCAAGAGACCTATCAAGCAACGTTCCATAAAAACTGCCTTGATCCTGTTGTGTTCAATATGTGGGTGAACTGAATGAACATAAAAAGATAGCATCAGGTTTATAAGTTTCCGAAAATAGATGGTCACTACGTGTATTCAAGAATATATATATAAAATTTTGACAGTTGGAAAGAGCTCTTGTGGACTAGAATGATATCCATAATTGACAAGTATGAAATGTACTGTTTAGTGACATTTTAAAAAACAACCAAAAAGCAACCCACAGATAGAGGAGGAATTTAGGAGGTAGGGATGTCACACTTGACTTATGTTTAATGAAAAGTGGACATGCTGCCCCAGTGAGGGATGAGAAGCTGACATAACACAGGGATACAACAAGAAGCATATTAAGAGAGTCAGGACAGAAAACAATTTTTACAATAATTATTTATGCACTTAGTATTACACTCTGCTTTTGTCCTACACTTTTTAATGGATATAAACAACTGGAGAAGACCCAGAGAAGAGCATCATAAGAGTCTAAAAGTTTGACATCTTTCATGTGTGGAAAAGCCTTAAGATCTGTTTCAATTTAAAGAGAAGGCGGGGTGACATTAAAACAGCTCTTAAGAAATTAAGTCTTGTTGGGAATCTCTTTCTGCCTTCATGTTTTTATACACACACAAGAATGAACAGTGAGAATTATTCCTAGATATGTTTTGGAAAGAGATGGGTCAGTGGTATCAGCACAAGGTTGGACAACTACTGAGAGTGGCTGCTGAGGGGTAGTGACCTTCAGAAGAGACGAGGTGGCCTTGTGCATCAGCCCGGCCTAGGCAGCTGGAGGGCAGGGGCTCCTAAGATTCCATGACAACTCCCACCGTCCAATTCTGTTATGTCAATGCCAGACTGTTAACTGGCACGCTGGGTCCTCTCTCCATCACTCCTGTCAGTGTCTGAGCTACAAGCAGTGCCTTCGGCTCTGAGCTCTGGCATCTTGACCCTTGTTTTGGTGGTTACGGACTCTCAAGCGTTGATCAACTTGTTCCCAACAGTAAGTTAAGAATTCCTGTATCATCACCCCTCAGGCCTGATTAAACCTATTTTATTTCACTTGTTTTTAACCCATTATGTGTTTGGATTTCTCTACACAGTCCCTGGCTCTACTTCTTTTGCCACGTGTCACCATGGCAGCGTGTCTTAGCCCTTTGTCTGATCCGAGGGCAGAAATGATCATCCAGCATATCAACCAGGAATTGCGTTCCCAGCTAGCAAGAAGTGAGCAGGACTTCCAAGATCTCAGGGAGAAATTCCTTGTATCCCAAGCTACTGCCTTCTCCCTGGCCAACCAGCTGCAGAAATACAGTAAGCCCTCAGGGTCGTGGTCACCAAAGGGATGAATGGTCACTGTCTTCCCTCTAAGAAACTGAACACTCTCCAGACTTTATCTTCTATTCCCTTTGTCCAAATAAATTTCATTCTGACCACAATCCAGGAAAGGCAGAAGTGCGTATTTTACCCTCAGGTGTCTGGGGATGGAAAAACTGAAGCACAAAGAGGTTAGCAATGTTTCCAGGTTTGCAGTGATGTGTAGGGTTGGATTAGAGTTGACGTCCCAGATATTGATTTCTGGTGGAGCCACACAACTCTGTTCCTCTCAGGAAAGGACTAAACTGTTTCTCTCAGTATCCTCTCTGTACTGTATCAGATCCTGCATCACTGTTGGCCTAAATGTCAGGGACTAATGAACTCCATCAGCTCCAGCTTCTCTGAGGTCCCACTGGCAAAATACTGTGCTAATTACACTGGGGAAATGGGGTGATAGTCCACACTGGGGAAAATAGGTGACAGGACCTGCTTTAAAGGAGCTTAAAGATAAGTCTGCTCCTCACGGAAGCTGTGGTATTCATGAGTGACACCATCAAGACAGGGAACAAACAGCCTGGTGAGAGAAGCCCTGCTTCCAGGGCACAGGCTCTTTTTCCTAAGTCCAAGGAAGCCATTGGACACCTGTGGTGAGGTTGAGGGTGTTTCTTTGGAAATCAGAGATTCTGTACCACTCCATCTGTCTCTCTCTGAGCAGAGGAGATGCAGGATGCTGGCTTCAGAGCCAGCAGGTCAAGGTGACCTTGGGAGTCTGGGCTGTGAGACACATGGCCAAAGCGAGAATGAGGGTAAGTCTGTGAAACCACCAGCCCCAGGAAAAACTCAAGCCAGTGTGTGCGGCAGGCCCTTCCCTCCCCCAGTGAGCCTCACAATCATAACCTCAATTGTCTGTTTAGTAAGAGGGGGCTGTAGTCACAAAATGAATTGTGAGAACCAGGGCACATGCACAACAGACGGATGAGAAGTACTCTTGACAACTCTGAGGCTGAATTTGTGTCATTTTCCTACTACTGTTTTTCAATAAGCCATTGGGGGGGCGATAATTAAAAATGAGTAACAGAGAAAAGTAAAAATCGAAGCCTGCTATTTAAGAAAGTGAGGAGATGAGCTTCTGGGAAAGAACAAAGCTTTATTTACATCTTTCCTTATAATCATAACATAACTGTAGGAAACAAATTTTGAAGATGATGAAGAAGAAAGATGTCAGTTAAGACCCTGGTGTTGAGACCTTGGTCCCACGGTGCAGTGGTGAAGAGCATGGACTCTGGGCCAGGCTTCCTGTACTCAAATCCAAGCTCTGTATCCTTCTGTGCCTCAGTTTCCTCCTCTGTTAATATGGTGCTGTCGTAGCACCTACACTTTGAGTCATTGCAATCAACTACATGAGTTATATCTGGAAAGCTCATGAAACAGTTTCTGGCACAGAGTAAACAATATTTATCAGTTCTTCCTTCTTCTACTTTTAATTTAACACAAACTTTATTAGTGTCTGTGCCATTTCCTTTGGGCATTTATGGTCTAATGCATTATATTTTACAGAATTGCATCAACATAAAATCTTTTATTTTTGACATACTTGTCCTTGAAATACTAAGCCTAAGACAACCAACAGTCAGTATAGTCCGCGGAGCCTTCCCAAGCATACAGGAAATCGCTACTTCATGCACCTGCTTAGTGTTTCCCTTAAGAGGCTGAAAGGTTGCAAGTGGCCCATGACTCAGGGTCAGTCTCAGGGGATGTGAATTCTGACCTTGCCAAACACCAGTTAATCAGTACTAGTTTCTGTGCCTTGGACATTCTCTTTCCTCAGCTCTAAAATGGGGAGTAACCAAATGCCATGTAGTAGTTGGAAGGCAGAGGAATAAGATGTGGAAATCCCAGCGTAGAGCCTGGTGCTGGGGCTATGTCTGTCCCGGGATGGACCCTGCCTGCTGCCTTGAAGGCGGTGACCACAGCAGCATGGCCAGCTTTCCACTGAGCAGGCCTCTCTGTCTTTTCTCAGAGTGTGGCGAGTGCAAAGACATCACTGAATCCGTGCTGGGGGACAAGCTGCATCTTGAGGAGGGGAAGTTGGTGGAGGAGTCAGCGCTAGCTGAGAAGCTCAGGTGAGGGGAGGGCTGTGTGTGGGGAGGCTGGCGGGAAGGGGTAGGAATCTCTGAAGTGGAGCAGGGAGCAACTTTGGGCCAGGAGAAGGCAGAAGTGTACACGGTAGGCACGTGTGCACAAATATTTATAAAGCTATTAGAGAAAAATAATGGGAAGATTGTGGATCCCAATTATTCAGAGGCTCATTCACTCTTTTTTTCAAAACTATAAATTATTGAGCTGAAATTCACATAACATGAAATTCACCAATTCAAGTGAAGAATTCAGTGGCATTGTGTACATTCACAATGTTGCACCATCATCACCTCATTTACCTTTAATCACACTCACCTCCTGACTCCCTACAGTTTGTCATTTTTTCTTTCAAAAGAATGCTGTCTCCTTGACCCTGTCTTTCTCGTGTTCTTTCCAGCGAACACCAGCTGTCCTGTCCACATTTCTGTGTCTGGCTTGGTGTCCACTCACTGCATAATGCACTGTGTGTATTTCAACACAGAAACAGGCACGGCTGAAGTGAGGAACTGAAGAGACATGTTTTTAAAGCAGGTTTAGGAAGACACTTTGTTTTGTTGATGAAGAAAACAAAGAATTGGATGTCAAGGAATCTTACAGGAGCACTCTCTGATCCAGAGGAAGCCTGTGTTTTACCTTCCTCTTTCTCTTTGCCACAGACAAGTCACCACACGTGTGCCAGAATTCTCTGAGGACTCCTTGGAGGAAATTCTCACAGAAATCTTCTTGAAAATCTTTAGAATCTATCGCTCATCCCTTTTGACTCTCAAATGTTCTCTTCTGTCCCACCTTAGGGAATACAATATCTGAATTCAAGATCAGGAGCAGCAGCTGACCCGTTTACGGCACACGTTACAGGAAGGGAGAGATGCGTTGGCCCTGCTCCATCAACACCTCAATGACTTCCTCACCCACGATGACCCTGATGACGACCAGGGGCCAGGCTTCTGAGAACAACTGGCTGAGGGATGCAGGCTGGCCAAGCGCCTTGCCCACATGCCCAGACCAGGTAGGGTGGCCAGAGGCCCTGATTGTACTGAGCTGCTCTCCAAGGTGCCTGGCTCACAAGAGACTCCACACCTCCCCTCAAAATGTTTTGACAAGCTGTCCTGGTTTGCATGTTGCACTTGGGGCCATGATAAGAACAGGACTGGCTGGGTGGGAGCAGAGAGGAGAAATGTACAGGGTGGAGGTCATGCTGCTCCAAGTGTCTGTTCCCTTCCTGATGCAGTGTGACCTTTAGGGCAGGAGGCAGTACCCTCATAGTGTTAGAGCACAGAAAGGAGCACGTGACATGAGGCAGCTTGTTAGAGTGAAAAGATCCCTGGTCTGGGCCTGGACATTCCCAGGCTCCAGCCTGAGTGCTGAACTTACTAACAGTGGGTGAGAGATTAATTTTTACTTCTTCGATATCCATCTCCTCACTTGTAAAATGGATCCAATAATCTGTTCATGGTAGCTGTGGTCGTCAAATGTGGTAATACTGATGAATGCACTTCAGAAAAAAGAAGGTCCCTGACCGTGTGGGGTTGGACAAGGTACTTGATGTTGTAGAACTTGGTGGTGGGAAAGTTGTTTAGACTGGAGAATGTTCCATAGAGAGAATTTCCCTTGATAGCACACAGAAGCCAACTTGGAGGGCCCATGAAGTCCCCAGCTGGAGGGTTGTGGGACACGGCTGTTTCTCCCCTCCTTAGAGAAAGGAGCAGGTTCTATGTGAGAGCTGTGAAGGGACATAGCGTCTGCACCTTTGACAGAATTTGTGACAGAATGGAAGACACAGTCGAGGAGTCAAGTGGAAAGCTGGACATGTATCCAGTGATGCGAGGAAGAGAAGACAGTTTAAACTTTTGCCAAGTGTCAGGCAGAGCATGCCACGATGGTGATCCACCAGATCAGAGACACACTGCCTGATGGGTCAGAAATCCATGCTGGGGCAGTTCTTTAAAGACAATGCATTAGGACTTCAGGACAATACCAACTCATGCATAGATATTCATGTCTCTTTGGCCATTGAAACCACTGTGTTTATAGTGAGTGAAGTGGGAAATAGCTGACTGGACATTTCTGACTTTATTTGCAGAAAATCATGAAGATGAGGAAGATGAACAAGCACAAGAGGCACTCACCCACAGGTAGCAATGAATAATCTGGAGCTGGTAATGGGTGGGTTAAAATATGGAGAGGGACTCAGAGAGAATAGTAAGTGAGGTCAAGAGAGTCACAGATGTCAGAGGCAAGGATGAGCAAAACTGTAGATTGTACTGATTTTATTCACTCAACCAGCAATGAAATGGCTCTATTAACATGGGTGTCTCTTGTCTCTGATACTTGTAAGTATGACCCAAGGTGAACTCACCAGCCTTAGGATTTCCTGCATACACAGAAAATACCTATTCTCTCCTGGAACTGAACACCGGGATGAGATGTATATCTACCTCCTACACAGTGGTCTTAGGTCCTTGGTAGGAAGCTAACTAGCCAAGGAATTAGTAAAGAAGTAACTAGCAAAATGAAATGCCAAAAAAAGTACCAAGACAAAAAAAACTTACTTGTCATGTGACAAGTAAGAGAAGGAGGCCTAGAAGGCACACCATCTCTGGGAGTCTACAATGCCTCCAGAGCTGTGTTCACTTGCACTCTAAGTTAAATTCAACATGATGAGGCACGTGGTGGGGGCACCAGTTGTGGTTCTCCATTTGTGCTTGCTGTCAAGACTGTACTATACTGGGATGGTTGAGTCTCATCCCTCATCAGTGGTTACATGGTGACTGTGCTGCATCTCTCTCCCATCACGTGGCAGCCACGCTCTCCTCCTCACGTAGGAGGATAGTTACTTTAAGGGAACTCCACCTTTGCTTTCTGTGACCACTCCCTATGCCTCCCATCAAAGCCAGCTAGGATGCCATGGTGTCTGATCCTCTTAGTTTAATCTTCTGTCATCCCTATCCCACCTGGCACAGCATGGAGCTGCAGGAGGTTGAAAAGAAGGAAGTCCTGCAGGACTCAGAGGATGAATGTGTTTTGACTCCTTCAATTTTACAAGAAGAGCCTGAATGCTACCAGCGTTGCAGTGATGACAAATTTGCATTGGATGAACAGGAAGTCAGCTCTGCTCTGGATGTAGCCTGTAAATGCTCTCATTCTAATAGGGGTCAATCTCCAACTCATCTCCCAGGTAGCCTCTGTATTCTTTGTTCCCCACAACCTGTCTAGACTATGAGATGTAATCCCCATAGGCAGACCCTATACTTCACTACTGATTTGAACCAGGCCTTAGGATTGAGTTCGAAATAAGACATTCCATGAGTCAGTGAACTTTGCTCAATTCCTAGTCTAAGGCCACACCTCTTTCATGTTTGTCCCACTAGGCAATCACTGAACCCAAGCTGGTCCTGCCAGACTAACATATCTCTCTACAACTTAGGCATTAGAGGTGACTTTTAGACCTCTTCGTGTTGAATGAATCTCTTATCTCATACGCAATGCTCTGATTTTCATTCCTGAGCAGTGTCCCTTGAGTTTCTATGTGTGTCCAAGGTTGTTGGCAGCCTTATGTACATCTTTGGAGATATCACTACCCTGGTTCACTTCTCTCAACCCAGAGTCTAGCTCCTTTCATTTGTCTTCTCTTATCTCATCTCAGACGTCATCTGAGAACCAGACATAAGCATCACTGTCACACTTTGTATGTTTCTCTGAAGCAAGCAGGCCCCTGGAACTTCCATACCACATGAATGGCTACTGTTTCTTCAAAGCATTGAAGCTTCTTTTGATTTGATGGTGTGTAGATTTTACTCATCAGTGTAATCTCAATGTGCAATTCTTCTAAATCGTTAACAAACAGCATTTCAGATGGAAAAACCCTCTAGGAAGCAGCTAGTAGTTCCCCAGGATCTCTGGGGAAAAGGATGTGTTTAACTGTTTGCACACTCAGGACAGAGGATACTTTGATGATGACCAGTCACATCAGGGATATTTGTCCAATGGCTCAAGAAAGCCAACTAGGTGGCTTCTCACAAGGCCCTACCTAAGGTGTCCTAAAACATTTTTCTCACAGTAGCCTGTAATTACCCTACATCTACTTA